CCGGCTTTTGGGGCGGGGGAGCCGCGATGCAGCCCGGCCTGCCCCCCTAGCCCCGAGCCGTGCCCCTGACAGCCGAGCCGCCCCCCAGCCCCTGCCCGTCTCGGCCCCATGAGCCGGCCCAGCTGATCCCCACCCTCCATACCTTCTTCTTTTTTTGGTTGCCCCTTCCCCTTGGCAAAGGGGGCAGTATTTTGTTGCCCCCCCCTTCATCCTCCCCTTTTTCCCTGCCCGCTTCTTGCTCTCCCGCTGGCGAGCGGCTCGGGGCGGCCTGAGGGTCGCAGAGGGGCGAGGACGGAGCAGCAGGCCTCTGGGTTTTAATCTGCTCCCTTTTTTTATTCTTTTTTAATTGACCCCCCCCTCCCCCCCCCAAAAAAAGAGGGGAAAAAGCAGGGAAAAAGCACAAAAAACCAAGATGGCTGGAGGTGGCGGTGATGAGCGGGTTGGCTTCTTTTCTTTTTTGATCTGATGATAAAGCCGAGAGGCTACAGCAGCTGGCGTTGCTCGGGCTCGGCTCGGAGTTTCCCCTCGTTCAACTGACACATCAGGCGCCGACTTTGCGGGGTGGTGCCGCCGCCAGATCCAGCTCCTTTTTTCTCTCTCCTTTTTTTTTTTTTTTTTTTAATTTTTTATTTTTTTTTTGTGACGAGGTTTTTTTTGGGGGGGGGGGGTTTGAATTTAAATCCGCCCTTCTCTCTCTCTCTCTCTCGCTCTCTCGCGCTCGCTCTTAAAAGCCAGAGGAAGAGAGCGAGGCAACTCAAAATGGCTGAGGATTGAATAGATCCTGCTGGAATTGTACATTTCAGCACTCTCCTTTGAGCTTTTTTTTTTCTCTCTCCTCTCTCTCCTCTCACCCCCTTCGCAGGCTGGATCTAAAAGGAGGGATAGCTTTCATGTCAGAGGGAAAACAGAGAAGAGGAGGAAAAGGAGGGGGCAGGGTTTTTCATTAGCAGTTGAGAAATTCCTTTTCAGTTTGATCAAGGCATGCCTGCCTTCCTCCCAGCGACCGAAATCCTCAGCATTTGATTTGATTTGATTGTCTTATTTCGGATGATTTTCTTTTTTCGGTGAGGGGGGTTCACTCGAATCGGGAGACCTCCAGCTTCTGAAAGAAGCCAGGCGCGGCGGCGGCGGTTTTTAAAGCCCACCCTTAGCGAGGATTTAGAGCAGGTTGCTTTTTTGCTTTTTTTTTTTTTTTTTTTTTTTCCTTCTTCCCCCAAACCGATTTCTTCTTCATTCCTATTTGTGCAAGGAGGAAGGGGCTGGGAGGTTTCCTTTGGCTCCGGGCTGGATTTTCATCTGAATGACTGACTGACCCGCGGAGCTTTCCCATCCAAGATCTCGCCACCAAAAGCATTTTTCCCCCTTTTTTGTAGGCTGCTCGGCTGGGTTCGAAGCAAATCGTTGGGGCGCTTGAAAGAATCCAGCTTGTCATTTAAGGGTTTTTTTTGTTTTGTTTTTTTTTTAATTTAATATCATCCTCCTCCCACTTGGATCTTAACTCTTTGATTTTTATTGTGAAAGACTTGAATTCCTAATTCCCCTCAGGGAGACAAGGAGGAAAAACAATAATAAAATAAAAATCGGAGGCAGGCTCTTCTCTGGGGCTCTGACCAGGTTGGTGGGAGGGGGACCGAACCTCCCTTTAAAAATCCTGAATGTCAGTTGCCAACCTAAGACGCGAAAAGTCAAATCCGGAGTGCTAAATTTAGGAGGTTTATATGGAACTTGGACTCTGCGACTGGATTTTGTATGGATTTTTTTGCAACCTTTGGTAAGTTTCGATTTGCCGTCTGGAAGCGCAAGAAACAAACTGCTCTCTAGCCTCGTTTAAAATTGCGGGTTCTCCACCCAAAAGCTTCTGTCTCTCTTTTTTTTTCAGCTGTTCATGCCGGGTCTTAGTCAAATCGTATGTATCGATTTCTGTTGTTTGATTGTGCTCGATTTGATTTGATTGATTTTTTTTTTTTTTCTTTTTTTTTACCTTTGCGTTTTAGGCTCTGTTGTCTTAGTTCCTTTCCAGCCTGTGTCTGCATATATGATTTCTGTTTTCCCTTCTCAAATAGCCATTTACCGTGAGACTTCCTATTGCAGGGGGGGAACCCAGTTTCCGTCTGCATCTGTAGCTCTAGCTGAGATATTGCGAGAGAAACTGTAAATAGATCGGCAGACATGGCTGAGAATTGGAAGAACTGTTTCGAAGAGGAGCTGATCTGCCCCATCTGCCTGCATGTCTTTGTGGAACCTGTTCAACTTCCTTGCAAGCACAATTTCTGCCGGGGCTGCATCGGGGAGGCGTGGGCCAAAGAGACGGGGCTCGTGCGCTGCCCCGAATGCAACCAGGCCTACAACCAGAAGCCCAATCTGGAGAAGAACTTGAAGTTGACCAACATCGTGGAGAAATTCAACTCGCTCAACCTGGAGAAGACGCCCTCGGTCTTGCATTGCGTCTTCTGCCGCAGGGGCCCCCCGCTGCCGGCCCAGAAGATCTGCCTGAGGTGCGAGGCGCCCTGCTGCCAGTCTCACGTGCAGACCCACCTGCAGCAGCCCTCCACGGCCCGCGGGCACCTCCTGGTGGAGGCGGACGATGTGCGGGCCTGGAGCTGCCCCCAGCACAACGCCTACCGGCTGTACCACTGTGAAGCGGAGCAGGTCGCCGTGTGCCAGTTCTGCTGCTACTACAGCGGGGCCCACCAGGGACACTCCGTGTGCGACGTGGAGATCCGTCGCAACGAGATCCGGGTAAGTGGCCCCCGTGGCATGCTCGGCGCTGTACGGGATGAGCCCCCGGGGAGGAGGCTGCAGAGCCCTCGACTGCGCGGTTGGCGTCCGCCTTGGCCAAGCTGGGAGGTCTTACGGGGGTCTCGGCCACTGCGCTAGCGTGGCTGCTCGCTCCTTCCCCTTGGCGCGCGCCTCCCTCACGGGGCCAGGTGGCACACGAGGTCTGCCCACGCTGAACCCCCCTTGCCACGGCTACGGGGGGGATTTTCCACCTCTGCCCCCGAAGCTGTTGGACGTGGGCATCCTGCCGTTGGATGGTGGTAGCCGACCCCCCGCCCCGCCGGTCCCGCAGCCACAATTTGACGTAACGCCCGTTCTCGGTGCTGCGCGAGGGGCCTGGCGGGCGCGGGGATAGAAAGGAGGAAGTAAACAAAAGCAGACGTGTTAATCTGCGCCGGGAGGGTGGGGAAGAGACCCCCGGGAGCGGGGCACCGGATCGGGTGCCTTCCTCCGTGGCTGCTCAGACAATGGCGAGGGGGAAACGGTGGCGTATTGGATGGGAACCTTTTTGCACCGCCCGATGACAATGGGCCGTCGAGCTGCCTAGCAAACTCGTTAGCTCCGTGGAGGACGGAGGTAACTCGCTGAGACGGCTAATCGTGGGCGCCGCATAGGTGCGCTGTGCTGCAACCCGTCCTCCCGGCGGGGCAGGCTGGGGGGGCCGGGCGCCCGGCCCCGTGATCTGCCCATCGCCTGGGAAACAACAAAGAGAGGATCCTCTCCTTTGTAAGGCCCATCAATGTCAAATCGCTGTCTCCTTTCTCTCCCCACCTCCTGCAGCCCAGCTCTACCAAAATCCAGGACGCCCCCCGCCCCCGTGCGCCCATTGCCTCGGGAGCCGGGTGGTGGGGCAGGATGTCCTTGGCCCCCGGGCTCGGGGTGGTGCCCGGGGTGCAGGGGAGGATGCTGGCACAAAATGGGCCTCTTTTTTTAAATTTTTTTTCCGCTGGTGGGGACTGGGCTTGACATTTGCTCTAACAATGGAGAGTTTGTGGCAGGGAGAGGGCTGAGACACGTCCCCGGCCCCGAAGCAGCGCGGAGCCCTGGGATTTTTGCAAGGCGGTGCCCAGAAGTGGAATAATAGGGGGTTTTGTCCGTCGGGACCGCAGGGTTGTTGCCGGGTGGCCCCTCCTCTGCCGGGTCCCGAGGCCCTCGGGCCTTTGCTTCCCCCGGCTCGTCGGACCCTCGCAGAGAGGCCCTCGAATTCCTCCCAGCGTCGCAGCCACGCAGAATAAATATTTAACAATGAATTGAATGGTGATTACTGTAAAACGGGGATGATTTCCTGTGTATTTTAATGTTGCCAGAATGAGTCACCCTTCAGCCATAAAAAAAAAAGAAGAAGTCGTCATAAATAAAAATTGCAGCATAATTACCTTCCAGTTGGATGGCTGGGCCCGGCCGGGCGGGGCGGGGGCCTGGGGAGAGAGGAGCTGGCATGGAGGGATGGGAAGGGGATTTTCCTCCCTGGTTTTGGGGGGAAGCCAGAGGCCGTGGTGATGCTGGTGGCTCCGCTTCCTGCCCACCCACGGGAAGGGGGAAATCCAGCCGGGCCGGGGGAAGCGCTGCCGTGAGCCCGTCACTAGGAGTTTGTCTCTTTGTGGGGCAGATGCTCGGCCCCGGAGACGCCGCGGGTCCGGAGCCAGCAGCGGTCGGGAGCCCGTTGCGTGGGATTCCCGGGGAGCCGACACGGTTTTTCCAGCTCCGTTTCCAGGCTGTCCTGGAACGGCCAGGCAGAGCCTCTCGCAGCGTCGAGCCAAACCCTGAGCCTCTTGCCCAGCTTCTCTGGTGGGAATTTGGGAGGCAGAAGGGCTAAATGGGCTCAGCCCGGCTCTGGGCATCGCTGGGGTCCAGGCCCAGCTCGCCCTATGGCTGAGGACCGGTCTCCCCCATCGTTAAAGCAGCGAGAAACCCCCTTTCCCCCCAGCTGCTGAAGGCCAAGGTGGTCAGTAGGATTTGGCCCTCTTCGTACCCCTGCGCTCCTTGGCAGCCAGGCGAGAAACCATGGCTTTCCGACAGCGGTCAGGGCCCCAGAGTCCGCAGTCCGTGCCCATCCTCCTGCAGCTGGGGTCGCTGTTGGCTGTTGCAGAATTAATTAGAAGTGGGGCGAATCCCTCGTTAGCCCCGGAGGGAGCCAGGGAAGGCAGGACGAGCAGAGTTGGGGTGCTGGTGCGGATGGATGAGTGCCCCTTAGCTGGGAGAGGGGGGAAGGCGCTGAGAGCTAGCGCGCGGCTGTTTGCTCCCCGTGTCCCGCTGAGCTGCTCTTGGGGGGCGCGGGGGGCTGTAATGAGGAGATCGGGGACTCGGCCTGGTTTTGCATGCTGGGACGTCACCGAGGTGCGCTGGTCTAGCGGGGGCGTGAAACCCAGCCGTGGCAAGAGCCTGGGGCTGAGCTGGCTATGGAGGTCCGGGGCAGGAGATGATGGTAATTTGGTGGCGCTGGGCATGGCTTCCCCAGTGTGCCCAGCCTGTTCCAGGTGGCCCTGCCTGGCTTGTCTTGCCCACCTGTGCGGTCTCTGGGAGGGGATCCACCCCACTTTCTGTGTCGGCACTACCACCGGGGCAGCGCCCCGTAACAAGAGGAGGCCTCCAGGTCCCGGGCTCAGCGAGGGTGTAGGGCAAGGTGCATGCAGCGTGAAGGCCGTGTTCGGGTGCAGCGTTCGTACAGCGCCTGGCGCGCACGGCCCTGATCCGCGACTCCCGGCGCCTGGCATTAGGCAGACGGCACATACAGCGTGCGGTGAGGCTCTCTCTCACGTGCACGGTGCATTTTTTTTTTCCTCCCTCTCTGACACGGTTTTTCCCCTTAATTTCCTGTTTTTGCAGCATTTAAAACAAAACCTGAACCCTCGGTGGTGCTGCTTTGACATTCGGTTTGTCTGGAGGCACCTGCCCGGCTCGAGGGGGTCACTCCTTTCCTTCCCGCTGTGGATCTCGTGGTCCTTGCTTTTTCTTTGAGCGGGACCTGTTTCCCACCCTGGAGAAACCCCCAAACCCCTCAACCCCGCAGCAGCAAATTGCTTCCAAATTGTGAGCTCGTGCAGTTTGTCTGCAGAGAAAAAAGCTGCATCCGATGCTGGTGCCATGTAGCAGGGGGATGCAGGGAGGAAGCCCGGCAGAAGGGCGCATTTCACCCAAACCTCGAGCTGCTGCCCTGGGTTTGCAGCACAGGCCACTGATTTAGACCCGTCAGCGTGTCCCCCTCCCCCCGTGCACTTGGGGATTCAAGATGCCGTTTCTAGCTATCGCCGCAGCCTTGCTTTCTGCAACGGGGACCCAGCAGGTTTTTGGTCCTGCTCTTCACCGGGCTTTGAAGGCAGAGCTGCGGATGCAGGCCGCGGGGAGAGATTTCTTCTGTCTTTTACCCTTTTTTTAAATTTTATTTTAATGTTGGTTTTTTTTTTTTGCAAGGATGCCGTTTTCGGTGAGGCCTTCCGAGCAGCGCTCCCTCTGCAGGCGCTGTGCCGGCATAGCCCTGTCCGTAGAGGATTTGGTTCGTGGGTGGGGAAAGAGGGTTTTTTGGCTCTGTGGTTAGTCGGAGGGAATTTTTTTTCTTTGAATCACCCAGGTAGCCGGGTTGAATTCCTCCTCCCTTTGAAATACCAGAGGACGGGAAAGTCGGCACTTGCCAGTCGAAAAGTATGAAGCATGTGGGGGAGAAGAGGGGTGGGGGACAATCCCTGTGCAAATGCACCTTATGGCAGCGAGGTGGGGGCAGTTTGGTGCAAACCTCAGCCCGGTTCTGGCTCTTCCTACCCAGCTTCATCGACGGCTCCAGCAAGGAGCCACACCTGGTGGCTTGCTGATGGGCCCCAAAGGTGGACGCCTATGGGCAGGGCTCTTCTGGACCCACAGAAAATGTCAAGGCCCCGGACTGGGGTGACTGGGACCAGCAGGGGCTGCGGGCTCTTGCAATCGGGTGGATGTTTCCCTTTTTATTAAAAAGGAACAGGTTTGGTAGCTTGTGCCTGGGGTTTGATTTCGGAGGCGTAGTCATTCTCCAGGCGGCGGCTGCGTGCGTGTGGATGCACAGCCGTGCTTTTCACCAGCACCTTGGGGGAGGTCAGGATTTGTGACACCGGGCACATTTTCCTTGTCTCTTTGCTTGCACCGTTCTTGCCTGTAGCAGATCCCAGGGGGCCAGGCCTCGGCGCCGGGGGAAATCCCGCAGGGGCTGCCTGCACCCCCCGGCCCGGGGTTTTGACAGTCATCGCTGTGCCTGGAAGTGTGGAGAAGGGGGGGTTGCACTGATTCACTAGCTGGAAATCCGGTGAGGTCAGCGAGGCTTACACCAGGCGCACATTTGCTCCTCGGAGCCTGCGGGGAAGAAGGGTGGTGCCTCGCATTCTTGGGCCATTGTTGAGCTCAGCTGGCCGGGCCTTTCCTGGCCGGGCCGCGGATAGAAATATGCGTCTCCTCCTTCGCTTTCCCGTCTCCGGCTCCCGCCTGCCGCTCCGCTCGGGCCTCGCAGCGCCGTGGCATGCGGACAGCTGGCAGTCGCAGCTGCTTGCGACGGAGCCCCGTGCCCCTTGCGCTTCCCATAGGCTTCGGCGCGAGCGGCGGAGACCGTGAGAAATGGAGAGGCCGCGGCCGGGCCGGGGGACGGAGGCGAGGGTTTCGGGCGTGGAGCTGGTGAAATGAGCAGGCAGCCGAGCCCCGTGGGAGGCGCCAGGCGGAGCGGCGGGGGGCTCGTGCTGTGACGTGGAGGGGGCGTGCGGCTGGGAGACGGGGGCAGGTTTAACCCAGTTTATAGCTAGGAAGACCGAGGCAAAGATCTCCTGGTGTCCAATGAACCTTGTTCAAATAGCAAGAAGATGATGGCGGGAGCGAGGGAGGGAGGGAATCGTTCTCCCCTGCCACAAAGAGCAGGACAAGCGGCAGGCGGTTCGAACCGCGGCGAGGAAGCATTAGATTAAATCTCAGGGAAAACCTTCCCAGGTGTCAGAGCAGCAGGACGGCGG